CTGGCAGCAGAGCTGTGGGGCCATGTGGTGGCTGTGTCCCACCTTTTGAGGAACTGCTGGACTATATCCACAGCAGCTCATCTCATCTCTTATCTTAAAGTTGCTCTATTTCAAAGGCCAGCATTTGATCAACACATTTTCAGCACGTTAGTTTTCCTCTTCACCAGCACTGCAACACTAGCCTTGCCTACTATCTCCTCCTGAAAATGGACTTATCTGAGTGACTTTCAAGATGTCCGTAGGTTACGTAAACCTCTGTGGGCTGGCCCGGGCCCAGAACCAGCTCTGACAGTGTCCCTTCAACTTCCTGCTGGAGTTCTGCACCTGTACAACTCCACCCGGGCCCCCCTGGCCCTGAACACGCTGCTTATGCACTCAGGCAGTCTGCAAGTGCTGGATGGCCTGGAAGATGGGCACTGTGGGTTGCTGGTTTATTTAAAGATATGTTTAGTAAATGGCCTTAGGAAACCCAAGAAAAAAGTGTTGCCCAAGTAGACTATTCCATTCGCTGGCACTGATGCGCCACCATGGGCAGGACGTGGTCCCACTGAACTCATGTGGGCTGTTGGGAGAGGGCACTGGCCCTGCGCGTCTCGCTGCAGGTGATCTGTTCCTGAGCCCAAGCTCCCAGCAGCATCCCTTCTGCCCCTGCCCAGCTCTGTGCCGTGGGCCAGAGCATGTGCCTCCCCAGTTCCCTCTTTCTGCCTCATGCCCCCCCTCAAGGTCAGAAAGGGGCCAGTGCTGAAGACTGAGGCTGAAGCGTGCAGCACACAGCCACCCTGGGGCCCGGGAGCACTTAGCCGGCAAACCCACCTTGTTCATGTGCAGTTGCTGCTGCTGGAACTGCTGCTTGTGTTTCTCCAGAAACTGCTGATGCTGCTGCTGGATGACCAGGTGCTGCAGAGCCTGGGCGTTCTGGGGCAGCGGGGCCGACTGGGTTCGCCCCAGTGGGCGGTGCTGCCGCAGCTTGTGGATGGAGGGGGACACCCGGTCCGCACCAACCAGGGACTGTGCGTGGAGGGGCAGTGCTCCCAGGCCTGAAAGATACCAGTCTGAAGATAATTGGAGGAAGAAACAGCAGAGGGGAAGAGGAAGAAGAGAGGAGGGAGAGAGGGCTATTGAGTAAGTGATGGAGACAACTGCACCCTGTGCCCGCCAGCCCAAGCGCTCTGCCCTGGTGCCCCAGAGCTGGCTCGCTAACTGGGCCCCTTCCAGCTGAGGCTGGGGCTGTGAGCTGGTGCTTTGGAACTACAGGAACCGTAATTTGGAGGCAATTTTCTATGGAAAATCAGGTCGACACAGGAAACGTCAGGAGTCCCGTGTGGCAGGTTTCAAAGAGGAAGCCCTTCCCAGGAGTGGCTACCACACAATTGTTCCTGGGGGCCACAGGCCCTAGAAAGGTGGGGTTTGGCCAGAACAGCACAGTGGGAGGGGAGAGAGGGCCACCAGTGTGCTGAGGAAGGCTGCCACGGTTCTGGAGCCTCCAGGTATTTCCAAAGACAGCCTGAGTTGTGAGAAAAATAATTGTCCTTAGGGTTGACATCATTTTAAGGTCTCTCTGAACACTGGTTTTAGACACAAAGATGGCATGAACACTTTGAAAAGTCCTGACGCATATTGTCAAAACCCCTTTCTGAAAAGATGTGGCTAATCCCTGCCAGCTGAGTGGAGGGTACCCACTTCACCACACCGTCACCAACCCTGTATTTTTTTGATTAAAAGAATCCATTTTGATAGGAGATGATCTTGCTTTAATTGGCATCTGTATCTTGATTTAAAACGCGACCTAGTCAAGTACACTTTTTCCTTCTGCATGCTTTTCATCGAGAGAGAGATATATGTATATACTGCAAATTGTTGGTTTAGGTAGTTTAACATTTTTCCATGGTTTTGTGGGCAAAAGGACCTAATGAACCCTCTGCCCGGCTCCGTGAAGTGTTCCCCTGGTAACCTGAGGGGAGTAAACACTAAACAATGCTGCTCAGGGTAAAAATGACCCTGACCCACTCAAGGGCACATGACCGGGTGAAATGACAAAGGAAGTGACCAAACCAGCTCTTGGAGGCCCTGGTGGGGGACTCTTTGGAACTTGGCATCTGCCTGAGGCAGCCTGCTCTTCCTGCCCCCAGGTGGGGCTACGTGCCAGCTGCAAGGGCTACAGGATCTCCAGGGATACAAGGTAGCCTGCCAGCAAGTGGCAGCTCCTGTCATGTCCCTCCCCCGGACACTGATGTCAGCGCTCGCCAGGCAGCTGGGTGTGTCATCAGGTTTAGAGGAGCCCAGGCTTCCCAGTGGGAGCCATGCATGCAGCTTAGTGCTTCTCAAGTCCCTTTGCAGGGGCTTTCTAAATTTAAGAAATACTATGTGATACGCAAACACAAAGGACACATCCAGACTAAATCCAGCCAGACCCCCAGCAAGACCCCAGCCAGACCCCCAGCAAGACCCCAGCAAGACCCCCAACAAGACCCCCAGCCAGACCCCCAGCAAGACCCCAGCAAGCCTGCTCTTCGCTACCTTTTCAAAAGTTATTCACCAGTGTTCTCTAACCCACCATCCCTTTTCACCCAACCCCACAACTTTCTGGAAAGATACATTATCTTAAATTTTATTATCAATGCCTGGCTACTAAATTAAAGTGAATGACTAAAAATCCATTCAGAATCATTCCCTGAAAACGTTAAAAAAAGAAAAAGGTAAACCATCCTAAAGAAGGTATTTCAGAATTACCAGTTGTTGACGTGGGTATTATGTCAGAACCATTCCCTGAAAAGGTTAAAAAAAGAAAAAAGTGAAGCACCATAAAGAGGGCATGTCAGGCTGGGCACAGTGGCTGTAATCCTAGCACTTCGGGAGGCCGAGGTAGGTGGATCACCTGAGGTCAGCCTGGCCAACATGGCGAAACCCCGTCTCTACTAAAAATACAAAAATTAGCTGCTCATGGGGGCACATGCTTGTAATCCCAGCTACTCAGGAGGCTGAGGCAGGAGAATCGCTTCAACCTGGAAGGCAAGGTTGCAGTGAGCCCAGATCATGCCAATGCACTACAGCCTGGGTGACAAAACGAGACTCGGTCTTAAAAAAAAAGAAAAAAGAAAAAAAAAGGCATTTCAGAATTTATCAATTGTTGATGTGGGTATTACGTGGGATGGAACTATTTCATGGAAGAAATAAGGAAGTCAGTCACACGAAGCTGCCTTCAGGGGATGCAAGGCTACGTAGTTGCTAAAAAGGTCTCTTCTCAGAAAGCAATAGGAAGCTGAAAGACATTTTCCTTAGCATTGTTTCCCCCCAAAGCCTTAGTGTGCATACCATTCAGGGGTGGAGGCGGTGATGAGCTACACAGTCCCCTGCCCAGGCCTGACGCTCTGCAGAGGAGGAGAAGGACATGCCAATTTCATAGGATTCAGCTTTCCGGCGTGACACATGATAAGGAACAAGTGACTCAAGCCAGCAGTGTGAGTGGGGGCTGCACAGCGCTCCCCAGCTCCTTTTCATCCAGGTCTCTGCCTCCTGCCACCCTCTGCATGGGCCCAGGGATTTCCCAGGCCACCAGCTTCACTCTGGGACACAGGCCTATGCCCCATGGGAACAGGGCTTCACTTTCAGAACTGGCATGAGCAGAAACCCCTGTGCAGACTGGCCCTGTTCCTTTTCCAGTTGCACTCCCCAGGGGCCAGCCCCTCACTCTCTCTCAGCCTATCTCGCCCACTCAGAATTTCACTCCGCTGCCTCCAGGGTGCAAACCCCAGGGCCGCCACACACGGGGACACCTTACCCGTGGGTGTCCTGAAAAGCGGTGCCCTGGCCTCTGCAGAGCAATGTGATTTGCTGGCTTGGTGGTTTCCAATTTGGATCCCTGAGATCATTAACAAGAGCTTCTGATGACAGACCACGATGTGGTCTTCAGGATATACTGTCAGGGACTTTCGAGCATAAAATCCTAGTCCATCAGGATACAATTCTGTAGTCGGTGACCCAGCTGCAGGGGCTGGCTGTGTGGTGCTGGGTGGGGTGTGGGGCAGAGCCTGGCTCTTGTGGTCCCAGTGGCCCCTTGCTCTGGGTTCCTCCACTGGGCACCTTAGCCAGGGTGTTCCCAGCTTCTGCTCCTTCTGCCCAGAGCACTGGCAGAAGCCCCTCCCTGTGTCCAGTGCAGGAGCAACAGCTGACCCTGGTTCTTGGCGCTGGACGGCTGTGTCCCTGCGGCTGCTGGCTCCTGCTCCTCCTGGAGGGACTTGGTGCTGAGCCTGAACTGTGCTCGGTGGCCAGCTCCCCTGCAAGCCCACACTCTGACACGCAATCACAGTGACTGCAATGACAGTTCCTGAGGGACACCCTGGAATGTGCCCAGCCAACCAGGGTCTAAGTTTTAGCACACCCTGCTCAGCAATACCCAAACTAATTAGTGAGTTTGCAAACGCATCACTTAGACACACCCCACCAGGTATGGGGATTTCAGAAAAAAGAAGGCGAAAGACTGGGTTGCTCTCAAGTTCCAGACCCAGATTTGAAGAGCTGGTCTTCACACACTGGGGATCTGTTTAAGCGATGAAGTCACATGAGATGAACAATTCAGGGTGCCTGAGTCCTTAAAGGTCCATCTGGTGTATTTCCATTGCTTTTTTTCTGTGAAATTCTTTAAAATCCTTCTACTGAGAAGTACACCAAGCAAGAGTTAGATCCGACTCACCGTTTGTAATCCTGGCCGCCCAAGGAATAATCTGCACGCTCTGGACCCACTTGGACCAATCAGCGTCTGTCTGAGCTTCTGGGGATGGAGCTGAGGCCAGGCCAGGGCTGAGGACCACAGCCTCGCGTGCCAGTTATGGGACATGAACCACGGCCAGCTGTGCTCAAGCCCTTCCTGGGACTCGCTGTTTTCGGGGGAAATCAGGTCTAAACGGTAGCACGCAATTGCTAACAAAGAAGCCAGGGGCACCCTCCACTCAGCGTGTGACCACGGGACAGTGGATGTCCACTGCCAGTTCAGGAAGGCAGTAGCCTTAAGACGCTGGTGGCATGCTCTGAGTGTGTGGCCAGGATACTAGAAAGATCTGTGACAAGGTCACCTCCAGCAGGCACACGCATCTCCCCCTACCTGGGCCCTTCCCTCTCCGCCTGCAGGCTCCTACTGAGATCTCAGCTCTGATGCCACTTCTCCAGGAAACCTTCCCTAGGCCCACCTGTGGCACAGCCCTGGTCTCCAGCCTTCTCGTCCACATGCTGCACTACCAAGATCCTCCTGGGTCTCTTGGGTCCTGACAGCAGGTTACACGGTTACACGGTTCTCAAAGTCCCGCTTCTCAGCCACACGGGCACCACAGAGGACTTAGCTGGGCTGCCCAGGCAATGATCATGCCCACAGTTTTGTGTCCAACTAAAGCAGCTGCATAGGGCTCTGCACACTCTCCTCACCCAGGAATGGGCTCCTGAGCTCCACTCCCCGCCTCAGCTGGTTATGCAGAGACTAACCTCCGAGAATGTACCAGCCACTCTGCAAAGATCTGAGTCCACAGTGACCATGGGAGCAGCACATAAACAGGGATATAGAAGAGGCATGCCAAGCCTGTGACTGGCAAGCAGCTGCCTGGAGTGGTGTGGAAAGGGGCTGACTGGAGGTATGTGGCATGTAGGAGGCAGCTCCAGGAGACCCTGGACCATGGCTCACCCCTCTGGTTTCCACTGGTGACCTCACCCACAGAGGCCTCTGTTTCAAAGCATTTGTGACTGGAGGGCTGTTCTAGCTTTGATATCCTATTCACCTATGCACCATGATTACCCGTGAGAAGGTGGGTCTGTCTGTGGGCCAGGAAAACACAGGCACTGCTGTCCAGAGACCAACTCAAGCAGGAGTTCACCAACAACTGCAGGAAAGGGCAGAACACGGAGACGAAGATGCAGCGTGGTCCAGGGAAGGAGCAACAAGGCAGGGCTGGGGCAGGGCTGGAGGCCTGGGACGAGGGGGCAGATGAACCATGCCTGATGGAGAAAAGGGCCCTGGGAAAGAGCCTTGGCTCTGTGGGCCGGCTGCGGCCTGGTCCAGCATTAAGCTGGCTGGCCTGGCTGCTGTGCCGGACTAGGGAAGAGAAACGAGGCTTGTAGAACAAGGCTGGAGTTCCTGCTCACAAGCTGGGACTTCACTCCAGGCCAGTGCCACCCTGCCAGGACCCTCTGTGACAATGAGAACACTTGCAGGCAGCTGCGGCCGTGCACTGGATGTGGTGCACATGTGACTGAGAAACTGAATTCTAATTCTTTTTTTTTTTTTTTTTTGAGATGGAGTCTCGTTCTGTCACCCAGGCTGGAGTGCAGTGGCGTGATCTTGGCTCACTGCAACCTCTGCCTCCCGGGTTCAGCCCATTTTCCTACCTCAGCCTCCGGTGTAGCTGGGACTTACAGGCACCTGCCACCACGCCCGGGGTTTTTTTTTTTTGTTTTTTTTTTTTTAAATTTTTAGTAGAGACAGAGTTTCACCGTGTTAGCCAGGATGGTCTTGATCTCCTGACCTTGTGATCCGCCCGCCTCGGCCTTCCAAATTGCTGGAATTATAGGCGTGAGCCACCGCGCCCGGCCAACTGAATTCTACTCTGACTTTCTACTGGCAGCTCCCCGTGGCTGGTGGCTCCTGACCTGGCCAGTACTGCTCTAGACGGCGTGGGGGCCTCCAGGCCTTCAAGGAGAGTCTGGTGGCTGCAGAAGGACAGACTGGAGGGGCAGGAACCTGTGCAGGAGGCTTCTTCCCACAAGAGGATGGGGCAATCCCAGCGGGTTCCAAATGAGGGCCTTACTCATGGCAGGGCTGGGGGAGGGTCCTGAGGCACTGAGGACAGACGGGGCCGGCTGGGGCAGTGAGAGAGTATGGGAGGTGGCAGGTTAAGAAGAACAAGGCAACGACGCCAACACCTGCAGAGGCATATGAGTGCACAGCCCGCTTCCCCTCATCGGGCGCACGGGGGCAGACCGTGAGTGTCCCCACTTCCCAGATGGGAAAACAAGGCGCACAGAGCACAAGTGGCTTCCCAGGGTCACGGAGCAGGAGGAAGCTGGGACAGAGGCAGCTGTGTGGCTGCACTACGCTGCACACGTGACACTGGCTCGGAGGCTCCCAGCCAGGGGGTTTGCAGGATGAGCCGCTGGCAACCTGGGGAGGCCATGCAGGAGGAAGGGGCTTGCAGCTTTGGAGGTGGCGGCATGGGACTGGAGGGGCTTGCTGGGCACAGGTGTAAAGCAAAGCCAGAGCAAGCTGGGCAGCCATGCATGGGCCCCCTGGCACTACAGAGCCTGGGGAGGGCACCGTGGGCAGGTCCCCATGCCAATGAGCAAGCTGCACCTGGGAGGAAAAAAGGACTGACTGTACACAGGGAAGAAGCAATGCCGGGTTCAGCACGTTTCTCAGAGAGGTGAGATCCATGCAAACTCGATACTCAGGTTCTATCAAAAAGGCTGTTTTCCAAACACCTGATACACAAGATTACGCATGTTACTTAATCGTGCATCATAAACTGATTTAGAGAAGGAAAGAAGATGAGTGACAAACAGAAACATCTCTGACGAAGTGAATCCCAGGAATCCTGAAGGATCAGGCATATTTTACGTTTTTAAAAGATACGAGAGAGGAACTCAGGTGTCCTTCACTACCCACCCTCGTGCTAGCTGCTCTACAGCATCTAAGAGACTCAGACGCAATCTCAGATACATTCCTCCAGAGAGATCCCCGTGCCTGCCACGGTGGCCGGAGCTCAGAGAGGCACTGTGAGGGTTGCCCCCTCCCTCGTTACACCACGGGCTCCTTTGCTCTACAGAGGCAGGGACACGAATTCAAGCTTCTGGAGAAACAAACAGAAAGGGGCTCAGACACAAAACAAAGATTGCCCCATGTGGCTTCTGGGCAAAGAAGGAATAAGAAAGAATCCTCTCTGTCTAAACAGAGACACATGGGCAGCGCAAAACAAGAAAACACCAAAATCCACCAGACTAGTCAAGCCAGAGGCCCAAGCCCACCCAAGCCAGCCCCCAGTCCCACGCATCCTGCAGCACAGCCTCCTACAACACGCCACACCCGAGTTTTCACCAAGTTCCCTGCCAGAGTTTCACAGGGGCAGCTCTGAGGGTATTTCAGCTTTTCATTGGCAACAACAGATTTCCAGGAAGCCAAACCCAAAGCCATGAAGATGTATAATCATGACCCGCATGGCAAGGGGGTAGGTAGAAGCTCCCTCGTTTATTTATTTATTTGTTTCTTTGTTTATTTATTTATTTATTTTTGAGACGGAGTCTCGCTCTGTCGCCCAGGCTGGAGTGCAGTGGCACCATCTTGCCTCACTGCAACCTCTGCCTTCCGGTTTCAAGTGATTCTCCTGCCTCAGACTCCCGAGTAGCTGGGATTACAGGTGTGCACCACCACGCCCAGCTAATTTTTGTATTTTTAGTAGAGACAGGGTTTCACCATGTTAGTCAGCTGGTCTTGAACTCCTGACCTCAGGGGATCCACCTGCCTCGGCCTCCCAAACTGCTGGGGTTACAGGTGTTAGTCACCACGCCCGGCCGGTGCTCCCTCATTTCTGAAGTTATACTTTCACATTGCTGTTGCTATGTAATTTCATAAGGAAGTTCCCATTTTTCTCTAAATTGTATTTTTCTAAATGTAACCACACCCCCAGACAGTGCACATTTGTAAAAGTTCTGCTAACACCAACTGACCACAAGAGTCAGTTCTGGGCTTCCAGTGCTGGCTCAGCTTGGTCCAGACAGAAACCCAAACTGTAAGAGCCAGTGGCCTCTCCCAGAAGGTGAGAAAGGGAAGTGACTTCCGCTTCCACTCCACCTACCTGACTCTGGGAGTGAGGCGTGGATTTTCACTGCAGTCACGACAGCTACATTACGTGAGGGGGATGTGTGTTTGGGAACTGTGGGGGTGGGACAGGCGTGCCTTCGTCTCCTCCAAAGGCAGGCGAGGGCCGGGCACCGTCCAGAGCACGGGTAGCCTCAAAGCCTGGCTGCACCCAGGCCCATCTGTGCTCACCTGTGACGAGGGGCGCTTGTGCCGGCGGCTGCTCCAGTAAGACCATGTGCTGCAGAAGAGGGCTGTGCGCCGCCCCTCCGTCCCGCTCCAAGGGCGAGGTGCTCAGGTAGGGAGTGAGGTGGGTGCCGGGGAAAAGGGAGAGCCGCTGCTGGAGGGCGGGAAGGGTGAGTCTCTCGGCATCCTGCTGGCCCGCCGTGCCCTGGAAAGCACAGCCGGCGATGCTGGCGTGGAAGGACCCATCACCGCCACCCCACGCCGCACGGACCCACGGGGGCTGACTTACAGCAGCAGGGCCGGTGGCAGGCAGGCCCAGCGTGATGTTGGGCAGGGACGGCGACGTGTAGAGGGGAAGTGGAGCGGCCGAGCCTTCTCGCGTCACAAGTCTGTGCGCCAAACTCGTCTGGGGACAGAACACACGATGACTGTCACAGTCTGTTATGGCCAAACATCAGCAATACACACCGAGAAAAACAACGATGAAATCACCTGTGGCAGCCTGCGCTGAATTCTGATATATGAGTGCAAACATACATGTAGCAAATGATACAGCAACGAGAGCATGAGATTTCAACACGCACCACAACATGAAAGCCCAATGCACGGCTCCAGTTTCCTCCCCGCGACACGAGTTCTTCTGTCACCTTGTCCAGCATCATCGTGTTGATTTCAATTCAGTGTGATTATTTACCACAGACTAGTCAGAAGGAAATCTAGGATAATACAGTTTGCAATGCCGTTTTGCAGTTTCTAGGATAATATACTTTACAATGCCTTTTTGTAGTTGGCGTTGGCCATGTCTTTCCAGACAACAAGAAAAGCAGAAACCAAAAAGGAAATAAAATTTAATTGTACATTGAAAAATAACTATAAGGGTATGATTGGATTGTTACACAAAGGATAAATGCTTGAGAGGATGGGCACCCCACACTCTGCATGACGTGACAACTACGCATTGCAGGCCTGTATCAAAACATCTCACGTACCCCATAAATATATACATTATGTACCCACACAAATTAAAAATAAAAAGAAAATCATAAAACAAGTGCTTCTATGAAAGGCAGGCAATGATGACAACAATACCAACCACGTATGAGGCAGGTGAGGGTCAGCACAGAGCGCTTGCGAATCAAACAACTAACAGTGAGAAAAGCATGCGGTGAAGACCAGTGACGGCAGAGCTCAGGAAGCGGGAGACGTTCAGGAAGACACATTATGGTCATCTGGAAACGTATTTTGAAACCCAAAAAATTGGCAAACATTTTTGAAAAATGATAATACCACCTTGGCCTAGAGGAACCGCAAACGCTGTCGAGAGCGCTGCAAATCACTTAGCGACATCCTTTCTGCAGGACAATGTGGCAGTCTATGGCAAACGCCTTCAAACTCAGTCTACGCTTTGATCCTAGAGCTCCACTCTTGGGATGCAACGTTAAGAAATAAGGAGAAGGCCTGATGCCAATGAAGCCTCGGCTGTGGGGCTGAGCACCCAGCAGGCAGGGCAGAGCAATGTGGCTTCCCCAGCACCTCGGTGTTAACAGAACGGAGGGGCACTGCACATCAGGACACTCTGGGGGTTAGGAACAATCTTGGGTGATTACTTGGACACTTGTTTATGATACATTAAGTTAGAAAAACAGGTTATAGGTCATGTAACTTTTAAAGAATGGGCTTGGATAAAGCAAACATAAGCCAGGAGTACAGATTAGAAGGCCACACAGGAAGGGTCAGCAGCAACAGTCTCCAAGGACTTGAACTACTGTGATATTTAACATCTTTTTGCTTGTAGAATCAATGTGTTTTGCTAAAAAGGACAATAGTTTATCACCACTATATCCCCTACACAGTAGCTACTCAAGGAATGTCTGCTGAATGAATGGGCAAACAGAGAATGAATAAATGTTGTTGTAATCATGCTAGTTAGTGGGGTTTGGCAGATAGAAATCCCCTTGCCAGAAACTAACATTAACAATGAATAAACAGATTCCATTATACTCTCTGCCTCCATGACAGCAACTTTTTTAGCTCCCCCAGATGAATAAGAAAATGCGATGTTTGTCTTTCTGTCCCTGGCTTAGTTCACTTAACATGAAGGCCTCTAGTTCCATCTGTGTTGCTGCAAATGTCAGGATTCCATCCTTTTTGATGGCTGCATAGTACTCCACTGTGTACAGCACCACATTTTCTCTGACTGTTCATCCACTGAAGGACACTGAGGTTGATTCTGCCTCTTGCCTACTGTGGAAGATTTATGACTAAGGCCTCAAAAGCACAGGCAACAAAAACGAAAACAGACAACCGGGACTCTGCTCAACTAAAAAGCTTCTGCACAGCAAAGGAAAAAAATCACCAGAGTGAAGAGATGACCTGCGGAAGGGGGAAATGTGCAAGTTATTCATCCGACAAGGGAAGAGTATCCAGAATATGCAGGGAACTCCAGCAACTCACCAGCAAAACCCAAAGCAGCCCATATAAAAGTGGGCAAAGGATCTGAAGAGATATTTTCCAAAAGACACATGAGTGGCCCGTGGGGACATGAAGAAACGCTTCTCCTGACAAACACTTACACTCAGGCTGTTCCTACAGAACAGAAAGTCCAGCCTTCTCACTTAGGAGCAAATTCACAGTGCACCTCGCCCCAGAGGAAACCCTGCAACTCACTTTAGATTTGCTCACACATTACACTGTGTAAGTAATGATTAAAGAACTACCGAGAAAAACATTTTTCCTAGACAATTTTTTTTTTGTCAAAAGTTAAAGAATTATCAGTAAGTTATGCTGTAGAGAAAATGCTTGTGATTTCCAGGAAAGCACAACTGTGCTTGTGTTATTATCATTTGGGAACAAAATAAGGAGACGTTCTAATGTTTGCAAAGTTTCTATTTCCTTTGTAAGCAAGGTTTTTTTTTTGTTTGTTTTTTTGTTTTTTTTTAAGCCCATTTCTGGAACTAAAGGAGCCTTCTGAGAATTTGTTCCTTGGAGATGCTGACTGGTCCACTTGAGAAATCGCAGGGCGCTCTGCCATCTTCTGTCTCGGGGCTGAGCCCTGCGGGAGGCTGGAGCCCCCTGGACCTCACCCTAGGATGGGTTCAGAGGCAAAGTCCGCGGGCCTGAAGTCAGAGCATCGAGGCACGCATGTAAATAACAGCAGCAGCGGCCACAGAGGAGCTGTCCCTTTAAGTACCTGGATGACACACTGGGCTTCCCTGGCCCTGTAGAGGAGGAGGTGCCCGGCACCCTGGGGCTTCCCTGGCCCTGGAAAGGAGGAGGTGCCCAGCACACTGGGCTTCCGTGGCCCTGGAAAGGAGGAGATGCCTGGCACACTGGACTTCCCTGGGTCCGGGGGGCCTTCAAGGTACAGTAGTGTTTCTGGGGGCCCCAGGGTGAACAGAAAAGGCAGTGCTGAGAGCCAGGCTGGCAGGCCTCTGCTCCCGCCATGCCCCCATCCACTCAAGATGCCCCTTCTGATGGGCAGGCTCACTAGCCTCTGCACCACGTGGGAATGGAGAACCAGCCCCTGGCTGTGAAGCACGGGCATTCTCAGAGACCTGTCCAACTCTAGCGATACTGAAACCCAGAAAGGGCGCCTGGGTGTGATCCAACATGCAAAGGCTGCCCCTGCCCACTCTAATGAACATCTGATGTGGGACATGGACAATGGCACCTCTCGGTATTTCCTGCAACTCCTTCTACACGTTCTATTAATTTCCAGTAGTTTCATTTACATATCACGATTTGTAAAAATTAACACAGAACTGGAATGACGCAGACCCACCCAAACAAGGTACTGTTCCAGTAGTAACTACCATGTACACAAGTGCCCCATTTTAAATAAAAACCTGTATCTAGGACCACAATTAACAAGATGCAACCAGTGTTAACCTCACAGGGCAGGAAGTAATTTCTAGGTTGCATTATAAGGCTTATTACTGGTAGACCTCAGCTATGACCACAGCCATACAGAGGACTGTTAAAACTTCTAATCATCTAAATAAGTACTGAAGCTGGCAGGCTGAAGACAGGTAATAAAAGAAATCGATGTATGAAGTAAAAAGAATAAGAGAAAATAGGGATTAAGCAGCCTGGAGGCAAAGTGCAAAATTCGTTCCTAGCAGTAATTCTAGTCTCTAAAAATGTTTATACATAAACGGTCTTGAAATTTGAAATGAAAATGCTAAACACTCATGCCTCTGTATCCCAGCTAAGATTTGCCAGTCCTCTGGAAGGGCAGGATTCATTTCTAAATATTTAAGAAGGAAAGTCAATAACTATATTTAATAAATTATAGCCTTCTGTAAGTTGGAGAGAATTCAGAAGGAACCTCCCACTCAGTAGAACTGTGCCCCGCGAAGCAGACAGCATTTCCAGCTCAACTCATCAGAAAACTCTGCAAAGTGTCCCCCTCCTCCGCCGCCCCATGGTCAGGCTGACCCAGGCCCAGGGCACCACTCAGCCCGCAGACTGCCTCTCTCTGCCTCTCTCTTCTCCCCTGTGCTCTGGAGGTGGCCTCTCCTCCTCAGTGGGGCATTGTGTGGAGTGAGGGGCGGGTCCTTGCTGCCTGCCTGGCTCCATCCCTGGGCCTGGCACAAGGCGCTCCAGACACGTGTGGGATAAAGACAGAGGGCGCAAAGGAGCTCAAGATACACGGACTGACGTCCTGGGACCTGCTGCCCTGGAAAACCTCTGGGTGTGGTCAGGGCGTGACTCTGTCAGCCTGGGCACCACTCCTCCCCGCCTTGCCGCTCGGCTCCTGCGTCTCTGACATCCTTCCCACCCGGGGACTCCAGGTGTCCCCTGACTCCTCTAGCTTTGCCAACGTGCTTCCCGGAACCACCTGGGGTCTGATGAAGGCAGGGGATCGGGGTGCTGAGCTCTGCGGTCTGAGACGCCTGGTTCCCATGATGCCTGGAAAAGCTCCCTGCTCTGTGGCTTTGGCCGGCCCTGCCGTGCTGACCATGAGTGACGCTCCAGTCGACCCTGACACATGGTTTGTTGGCCAACATTGCGTTGTGTATTTCTCAATACGAAATAAAAAATTTTAAGTCTCACTGAGCAACTATGCCCACGTGCCCATGGCCTCTCAGCCACCCTCAGACACTGGCGACTACGGTGAGCCGGGCAGCAGGGTCCTGTCTACCTAGAGCACCTGCCACGTGTGGGCTTGTGCTGTGACACCATCTAGGGACATCTGCTCTGGAGGAGGTCAGGAGAAAGGACCAGGCTCAGGGCTGTCCCCGACGTGCCTGGAATGAGTGTGTTCATAATGCAAGGAGATGTCTGTGATGAGAGGAAGGCAGGAGGGTTAAGCAACCTCCAACTGTGTCCTTTTCAGGATGGTTCATAGGCCACTTTCCCTCACCCCAAACTGGAAGGTGAAGAGTGAAGGGCAAGTGCAAAGTGGGATCATTTCGAGCCCATCTGTCCCGAGTCCGACTCTCGCCATGGGACACAGGACAAACGCTTGGCACTGACCTCCGCCGGGATGCTGGGGACGGCGGGCGTGATGCCGTTCTCTGCGCTGACGCTCCCGGAGCTGTTGTTGGGTGAGCTGGGTCCGGAGCCTGGGGCGCTGCTGCACGCGGAATCTGCAGAGGCAGAAATATCCTGGTGAGTGTTACTCCACGTGGAGGGGGGGCCACGCGGAGGGAGGGCTGCGCTGACCTGTGGCCCGAATGCCCGGTGCCTTCCACGGACCTGCTTGTTAGCTTGCGACAGGCAGAGGTCCCAACAAAAAGAACATGGCCATGGTTTCAAAAAAGAAAGTATGATGCTGATTTCTGATTTTCCAGTTTGGCCACTGACTTCACTTTTTCTAGGACATGCACGTTACCAATTTTATACCTCGTTTGATTTTCAAGACCATTTTACACACCAAAAAGATAAATCCTTAAACACTTATTAGTAACCTAACAACAGAAGACCAGGAAATGCAGAAGCTAAGTGACTTTGAAAAGCAAAAGGTCAGCTTTCCTGTGCTCACTATAAAAAGCTTCGTTCAAAATAAAGCAACCTACCATTAGTGTTGACTCTGGGCTGAATCCTCTCATTTTCCCTACATAGCAGCCAGCATCCAGGGGAAAATATAGCCAGTGTCTCCTGAGATCTATCAGTGCTACTGAAAAACACACGCTCAGACAGTCTTAGAGGATCTTTAACCATCTGCGTGGCTTGACCCTGGTTAATGAGACCAGATTCCGCTCTGACTGAATGTGACTTCCAAAAGGAGCCACGTCCAATCCAAAGATCCCTTCACCTCTGAAGGGGCCTGCTGTTATTTCGGGCACACACATCCACCGTGGGAGGCCACTACAGCTCTTGATATTCATGCAAGGATTTGTTTGGCTTGTCATATGATGTTTAGTTTAATGGCATTTTAACAATGGCATCATCTGGTTAAAGCTTTCCAAAGAAAACACAACGTGACCTATTTGCCTCGAGAACTCCAGGCGTCTGCTGTTCAGCACTGACTCCGGGTGCTCAGAATCTCGCCCCAACCCATACGCGCAGCGCATACAGGTCAGAAGGAAGGGGCGTGGTGGGGGTCGTGGAGGGGAGGTTAACGGACATTTTCCCCAGGTAGCCCCTCAAAGGAGCCGTCCCCAGCAAAGCCTCCTCCACGGTCTGCTTGCTGCCCGGGTCCTCCCGGAGCCCACGAGGCTGCAGGCGCCCACTCATGCTGACTCACATGGTATCCACGCCTGCTGGAGGTGGTGACTCTGCAAATATAGCCCTGAGCCACAGTGAGGAGGATGAGGAGGGTGGGGGGACAGGAAAAGACACCCACTGCTCCCCCAACCTGGCAGACCTGATTCCAAACATAGCTCATCCATCTCTCAGTCACTGTTTGAGGAGGGTGCCATTATGACCCTGTTTCACAGAAGAGGAGATTGAGGCACGGAGCAGTGACATCACTCGTCCCAGGCCACAAGGCTTGAGGGAGCCGTCAAGGGCGTCTGCATACCAGAGTTAACCCAGCTAGACGGTGAAGGTGCGCCCCCTCTGTTGACCATGCTGCCCACCCAGGAACACACTGGGTACATCTTGCCCTTGACAGCAGGGCAGTCTAAACCTCTCCAGGGCAAACCACTATGTCCACCCAGAAGCCCTACACCAGCTGCTCCCCATGGCTCCTGGAGCTCAAATGAGTGTAGGGTCAGCTCACGGTCCCGGGCACTAAGCATGAATACAGGACCGCGTCCCGACCCTGTCCCCTCCTCTTTCTCTCCCTGGTCCTCCCACCCCCTCACTTCCACCAGACACTAACTCCAGAGGTAGGCCTCTCTGGCTGCCGAGGCCATGTTATTTGCACTGTGAGTGGGCATTCTGAGAATGCCAACTGGGCTGAGCCAGTGTTTGCATTTCACTCAAGAAAGCAGGACCCGCCTTCTCTAGTTCCCTCCAACTCTCCCACCTCTGCCCTACCTGAAGCCCACTGTGGCCCGCCCTAGACCCCTGCTCTCTGATGTTAACCTGTCTCCAGCTACACACCAAGATCCAGCAGATCTTCCTTGAAATGGGCGCCTCCCAACTGTGTCATCAGATAAACACCCTCACACACGTGCCTGGGGAGTCCGGACAACTTTGGGGGATGGTAAAAATTATACGTGTAACTTTCCACCCACTTTTAACTCAATGAGGTTAATTTTTTTTTTTTTGCATTCTACTTCCTGAATAGGTCTAAGAAAATTCATATAAACGCATAATCTTCATAGTATTATTTAGATCAGCAAAACAGGAACACCACTGGAGGTGCACAAAATGTGTGTGGCTGAAATTGAGTGGAGGATGCAGGATGGGGCAGGAAGATGGTGAGAACTCAGTGGTGAGGAGGGCGCAGAACACAGGCTGCGGGAAGGCGTGCAGGGTGAGCAGGATTCACTCTGGACAGAGTGCGTATGGGAATGCATTTTCTTCTTTGTGCTCTACAGTAGACACCCATTTAATTAGTGACTGAGAAAAAGCAGAGTATCCACCTGGCTCTCTATCTGCCAAGAACCGCGACTGCCTCCACCGCCCCGTGTGGGACCACCCTGCCTAATACCTGTCTTCTGAAAATCGGCTCCACGCAGAGCAGCCTCCCCACGGTGGCAGCTCCCTGGTGCCAGTGCTGGCCAGGAGATGCACAACCCTCTGCCTCTCTGCCCCAGCCCCACTCACCCGCCAAGTCCCAGTGAAAATGCCACCTTCTGCAGAGCTCTGCTGGCTCAGGGTGGCTTGTGCTGATCTCCCAGCCCCTAGGTCCCTCGGCATGGGCTCTCTCTATGCCACAGCTCAGCAATGATCACGCCCTGCCACGCATGGCTCCTGGGTGAGCTCAGCACTGATCACGCCCTGTCACGTATGACTCCTGGGTGAGCTCCGCACTGATCACGCCCTGTCACACATGA